ATTATATTATTGATTCTCAAAACTCACCCAGAAGCAGAAATGTGCAGGTTCAACAAGCAGCCTCTGACTATACAGAAGATAAATGATGAAACAATGGCCCACTGGCACTGTGAGTGCATGATTCATAAGCAGAGACTAAACTGGGCCCTGGGGCTACAACCTCCAGCCATATGTTTTCCTGGGTATTGATTGATAAGCCAGTCAGTATGTGGTGTAGCCAATACTACATCTTCACAGTAAAAAACCAACAACTAAAAAACCTGCCATGCAATCTTTTTGTCAATTCAATAGGCAGATCCATGACTTCATGAGGACTCCAGGCTGAAGATGACCCCAGTTAGGGACCCTAGGTTGGATTAGGCCAATTTGGAATGAGCTGTCCTGTTATAAGATTAATTTGATCGATCCTGTCTTAATACCTAAAATTGAAAAAATTCTTCGGAAATTTTGGCCATATTTGAATGACACAGTTAGTATTATGATTAAGTCAAGACTGCTATTGTTGGATTTTCCCAGGTGTGCTTACCTGAATGAAATGATGTCTAAATTATTTGAATGAGCTCTGGCCATCAACATGGCCAGGTCATTGGCTTCTGAGCCACTGTTGGCCAAGAAAATGACCTGGAAGGGAAAGAGAGACACCTCACTTTGTCATTCCTTTCCTTAAAACACAACAAATAAAAAATGACCACAGATCATGTCTCTATCCCTGATTATTAAGTCGAATTCTCCTCAGACCAGCTGGGTAACCTAGTAGTCTGATCTTGGGTTACTTAGAAGTTGCTAAGTGCTGTAGATACAAAAATAGCCGAAGGATTGTCACAGCTATGAGAGATTCAGGAGTTCACTGTTCTTCCTTGGTATTCTGCTTGCTGTTAGGAACCAGAAGACTCTCTGAGGAACACACAGTAGTTTGGTACTGAATGGATTTGAGAGCCACTTCTCTTGACTAAACCAAAAGCTGCCCACTTGACTCTAAAAGCCTCGAACCAGGGCTTCACATTTTCCCCAACACAGCAAGAACAGAATGGACCAGAGATGTAGAGTATGGGTGAACCAAAATGATAACCAGACGAAGAAAAACTGCAGGTTGATACATTGCTCAAAACGTCATCTCCTCTTAGAAAACAAGGGCAGCGTGTGTGTTGACCAGCAACCACATCTTTTTACTGGCAGAGTTTGGAAACAGTGGGGCCCTGGTCAAAGATGGTGACGGTCCACACTACGTTGAATAGTGTCACCTTCCAAAGTCCTGGCCAGAACCCATTCTCCTACATCAGCCTCCGGAAGGGGCTCACGGTGCCTCTTCGGACTCTCTCATTCCAGGGCATTGACCCATGTTTTTTTCCCAGTCTGGTTATCATGCCACTAATTGTTAAAAACAATTAAGGCTCTTCCAGTTTCATTGCACTGGGCATGCCTGGGCTGATTTGAACCTGTCTGAGGGCCTGTTTGAAACAGAGGAGGCTCTCTGGTCCTGCAGCTACAGAAGATACCCCTCACTGGTTGTCCTGTGTGTGCGAAAATAAGGAAGCACAGAAAAATTGCAGCCTAGCCTGCTCAAGGAAATGGGGAGAACTGAAGGGACTGGATGTTCCAGGTTTGGGGACTGAGATGTAGGTGTGGGCTTGCACGCTTACTCACATCTTTGCTTCTGCTCTCCTATATATACTTCTGGCTTGAACTTGGGTCACAGCAATTACAAGTTGATCTTAACCAACCAACCAACCAACCAACCAACCAACCAACCAACCAACCAACCAGCCAACCAACCAACCAACCAACCAACCAGCCAACCAACCAATTGCCATCTGGTTGCTTCTGACTCATGGAGCCCTCAAGTGTGTCAGCGTAGAACTGTGTCCACAGGGTTTTCAGTGGCTACTTTCTCAGAAGTAGATCATCAGCCCTCTCTTCCATGATGCCTCTGGGTGAACTTGAACCTCCCATCTTTCAATGAGCAGCAAATGTGTCAGACATTTGCACCACCTAGGGCAGTGGTTCTCAATCTTCCTAATGCTGCGGCGCTTTAATACAGTTCCTCATGTTGTGGTGACCCCCCCCAACCATAAAATTATTATCGTTGCTACTTAAAAACTGTAATTTTGCTACTGTTACGAATCTGGCAACCTCTGTGAAAGGGTCATTTGACCCCCAAAGGGGTCGTGACTCACAGGTTGAGAACTGCTGACCTAGGGGATCCTTCTTCATCTTATTTTAGTAGTAAAATCATGATAGCTAACACCATATGCAGAGCACTGGTTTAAGTACTTGATGTGTAAGAACTCATTTATCATCTTTTTAAAAAAATCGTTTTATTAGGGGCTCATACGACTCTTATCACAATCCATACATACATCAATTGTGTAAAGCACATTTGTACATTCATTGCCCTCATCATTCTCAAAAC